GTAGTCTGGGTGGAAGCTGAGTGTCATACTTCTGCTGCTGACAAATTGTGCAGTTAGTTATGAACTCCCGCACCTTGGCTCTTATTCCTTTCCAAAAGAACTGAGAGGCCAGCCTTTTGTATGTGCAAAAAACCCCAGAGTGGCCCCCTTCTGCCGTGCTGTGAAATTGTTCCAATAGCATGGGAATGTGGTCTGAGTCATCAGTTATAACTAGCCGACCCTTGTAGAACATAACGGCTCCTTGGATTGTGGTGTATCCTCGAGTAGACTTAGGCTGTTCTACCCATTTTTCTCATATTGCTTGTAACTGTGGGCTCTGGTCTGCTTCCTTCTGTAACTCGGTTGTAAGGGAACAAATGGGTTGAGATACTAGCATGGGCTTCAGCTCCTCTTTCCTGGAGTCTGCATCTGTTGCTCTGTTTTGGGCTCCAGCACGGCACTCTTTTATAAAACCCAAGCAGTTTGGACATCTACCTCTATTCTGTGGAAAAGACACATTGCTCCAGGAGATATTTCAGACTTTGATAGTTAGTGTTGATAGTGAATTGCTGCCCCATTAAATCGACCCTCTGTTTTAAGACCAATAGCATCACTACCATGAGCTCTAGTTCCTTGCTAAAGCCCGGTCAGATAATCCCTTGCTAAAAAAGGCTATGGGCCTGCCTTCTTGCATTAGAGTAAACCCTATTCCACCTTGAGAGGCATCACTCTCAATTACAAATTCCTTATTGAGGTCAGGCAACACCAGTGTAGGAGAGGATGATACTACTTCTTTCAAGCGTTCAAAAGCTTCCTGGGTCGTGAGATTCCAAGCAAAGGAATCCTTTTTGAGCAATTTGGTTAATGGGCCGGCTATCTTGCCATAGTTTTGGATAAAACGTCAGTAGTACTTGGTTAGTCCAAGAAACCCCACAATTCTCTAGTGGTTTTGGGCTTGGGCTAGTTTGTTATACATGATACCTTCTTTGGGCCGAAATAATGGACCCTGGTCTGCCCAAAACTGCATTTGCCTTCTTTTGCAAAAAGTTGATTTGTTTAAGAACCCTAAGAGCAATTTGCAAATGGGCTAGATGGGTCTCCTAGTCCACACTGTATACTAGGATATCATAAAAAAAACTAGGATAAAGTTCCGAAGATATGGTTTGAACAAATTGTTCATTAGAGCTTGGAATGTAGATGGGGCATTGGTCAGTCCAAATGGCATGACCTTGAATTTTGTATTGACCATCATGGGTCCTGAATGTAGTCTTGTGAATGCCACTATCGTGGACTCTAATTTGATGATACCCAGCCCGCAAATCGAGCTTGGTAAACACCCTAGCTTGTTGGAGCTTTTCCATCAACTCATCAATCACTGGAATGGGGTAGCGATCCTTTATGGTTATATTGTTTAGGGCCCGATAATTGACACAAAAACTAAGACGATGGTTGAGTTGGATGAAGGCCTTATCCAAGAGATCATTACCAAATTTTCTATTTCTTGCTTCTGGTAATGTGAGCATCAATAGGGCCAACCCGAACATTGGTAGGCCGGGCCCCAGGTACCAATGGGATTCTATGGTCATGGCCAGGTGGCCCAGAGGTGGCAAACATTTGGGCTCACTTAAAACCTCTTCATATTGTTTCAAAAGGTTGTGAAGTTTTAGCTGGAAGTCAGTAGGCCCATTCGGCCTAGTGGGCTGTGATAATACAGGACCCCTGTTGCTAGCTCCCAAGCACATGAAGCAAGGTAGGTTTGGGTCAGGTCTGAGTCGACTGATCATGGCCAGGTCTATTGGGCTGGGAGCTCTGACATCATAGCCTTGTAAATGCACTATAGTGTCACTCATTTGGAAGTCCATAGTTAAACAATGTCAATCACATAGCACTGGGCCAAGGTGTCTCAACCACTAAATCCCCATAACTATGTAAGGTCCACTGAACACCAAGGGGTACAGGTCCACCTTGAATCGGTAACCTTGCACCTTGAGGGTCAATCCAATACAAACCCCATCACATGTCAAATGTTCTCCATTGGCCACCCTAACCATAAAGGCTGTGGTGGGTAGGATCATCAGCCCCAATTGTTTCACCAAGGTGCACAAGATAAAATTCATAATGTTGTCGTTGTCAATTAAGATAGACATGTGCTGGTTTGAAAGAATCCCGAGACCCTCATGGTCTGTGGTGAAAACAACTTGGTCAATGCCTGTAATGAGTTTTCCAGTTGAACCAGATCCCAATTCAATTCTGTTCCTCCAATGTCTAGAATCGGACCCAAACTTTGTTGGGTCTTACATCTGTGGCTCGACCCAAACTTTTCATCACAATTGTAGCAAAGACCCTTCTCTTTGTAGGCTTGCATTTTGGCCAGGTCTTTTTTTTTGGGGGAATGGTTGGCCCAGTTGGCCCATTAGTGGAAAATTTTGGTCTACCCAATATTCCTTCTCCCTTTTTCAGCAGTGGTGTTCGGCTATTCACGCCAGGGGTTTTGATGGCCCTTTTTCCTTGGTTCTTCTCTTTGAATAGTCGAGCTAACCTAACTGCTGCTAGAATGCCTGTTGGTTGCATCACCTTTACTTCCAGGTGTATTTCATCCTTCAATCCCCCCCTCCCAAACACCCCACCAAAGCTTTCTCAAGTCAGCCCTGAAACCAAGTGGCTAATTTTTCAAACTCTACATGGTAGTCATGTACCGATCCTTGTTGCTTCAGTTTGGTTAAGCTCTTGTCATAGTCCACATACCCAGAGGGTCCAAAGCGGACGTAAAGGGCATCAGTAAATTCAGTCCAGATCATCTGAGGGCGAGAACGACAGTACCATTGGTACCAAAGGATGGCTTTCCCATCCAAGTGAATGGTTGCTATCGTGACTTGGTCAGGACCAGGAGTCTCATTATATTCAAAACATTTTTCTACTTGATAAATCCAAGAAATAGGGTCATCTCTAGTGAAAATAGGAAAATCAAGTTTAACAATCTTACCCACCGTAGCTCCATGTCTCCTGACTTGGTTGTGGCTCGATTCACCTTGTTCAACCTCTCTGCTACCACTCGGAGTCATCTGGTCAAATCACACCACCACCGCCGACAGAGCCTCCTTGAGCTCCTTAATCTCCATCATCACCTTGTGAAGCTCTACTTCCATCTGATCCATGCGAGAGTCCATGGTCGTTGCTCTGGTGCTTGGCATCGACCTCGCTTTGATACCAGATGGTTGTTGAGGAACCACCCTCCAGAACAGAAATGAAGAAGAAGAAGAGAATAGAAGACTTAAATCTGATTTTCCATACCTCTCCTATACAAGCACTCGCTCTTATATAATTATCGTAATCAAATCATTTCAGTTATGCTTTTGGGTCTGCACTAACTAACTCCTGTTGATGTGGCTGGCATGGCCTCCTGCTAAACACCAGCTGTCCTGTAGCTTTCTGACGTGGGGTCTCAGCTGCGATATCCTCTGGGCCTGGCCCGAGGGGCTGTCAAATAGGGAGTCTGACTATGAGGTTCAATAAGGCAAGATTTGGATCAAAGAGGCATTTCTCCAAATGCCACTTCAGAGCTGGTTCATGATGGTCTTTGGGATCTTGTGTTGATAGGTATTTTGGGAGGAATGCTAATGTTAGGGAAGAGAATCAGGGAGCAGAAACAAAAGTACCTGATTCATGTTATAAAATGCTTTTACAGGTTAAAAAGTGGTTTGTGTCAGTGATTGAAAAGGTGCATGTAGGCACACAGGTGAGGTGCATTGCAAGGCTTCTGCCTTGCCTAGGCCCAGGCACAGCCACTTTAGAAAGATGTGTGCCTGGTGTGCCTTGTGCCTCAGCCCAGGCATGCTTTTGTTAAATTTGGCAAGTGAGCGAGCCAGAGCTCCAACTCCAAGAACCCCCTATTTTCTCATATTCTTCATTTCATTCTTCATTTTTTAAAAGATAAGGAACTGAAAGTAAATTAATAAACTAATTCTTTTAAGTAGGGATTAAGAATTTAAGACCCTGGCATGGACTTATTTGGCCTTGCCTCAAGGGACTTGGTGAAAGATGTCTTATAGAATTAGAGTAATGCAATTGGGAAAGAAACAAAGCTTAAAAGCTTCATGGGCTTAAATTGTTGAGTTCTTGAATATGTTTTATATGTTATGTTTAGTTTTATTTTTAGATTTTCACTTTTTATATGCCTTATGCGTTATGTTTATGCATTTTAATTTGAGCTAATAGGCTTTTTAAAACATTTAGATTAAAATTTAAGTATGTATTTTTTTAAATTAATATTATTTTTAATATTTTCATTCTATGATCCTTTTTTTGCAATTTTTCAGTTTTTTTTTTGCATATTTTTATGCTTTTTTGTTTGATTTTTTTTTTTTAAATTGTGCCTTGCTTCAAAAAGGTGCACACCTCTCGTTGCACTTGGGCACAAAAGGTCCCTTGTTCTTTTAAAACACTGGTTTGTGTGGAACTGAACCATGTAAAATGTCAAAAAGGTTGAGAGGAAGAGTATTAGAAATACTGTCTTTTAGAAGGTAGTAAAGAAAGTTCAGTTTTTTTTCCTCGTATTATGTATTATATTACGGGGGGGATCAAGGGGTGGGGACAGAGCAGGGTGCACGTGAAGTCCACCAACCTTACCATGGAGATCCTGCACTATGCGGGTTTGATCCCACACCTTCTTAACTGGATCATCACGAAAAGAAAGTTCAGTTAATGTTCCTCTTGTGATACCCCTTTGTAGTTGAAGAGGAAGTAGAGATTGATAATGGGGGATAGAATAAGGAATAACATTTTGTTGATTACGGGATGAAGGCACATCATTAGAAAATTCTTGATTTAGTCGGAGGTGGCTTGTCACTTAAACTGTTTTATTGGCCTCATCAGCCTTCCACATGGCTGAAATGGGTAGGCTTGTCCAGGAAAGAAGTCCCTCTGACTTGATTGTTATGCTTTTTCTTTTTTTTTCTTTTTTTTTTTTTTCTCTAACAAGGCATATCATGAAATTACAGTTTTTGATGGATAATGGTTGTCAGGCTGTTGCTGCTTCATTTTTCTTACGGGATCCTTAAAGACAGTATCTGAGTACAGGTTGCACGTCAAGTCAAGAAAAGAAGTGCGTGAATGGTCAATGGGTTTTACCGAAAGCAGAGCTGCAGAAGCAGGATTACAACTACATGTAGTAAAATACATTTTACCCTTCTGTTGGCTACAAGTTATTTTTTCTTGAATTTTTAAGCGATTAATTTCTCCGATATAAACATTAACCATTATTAAGCTATATATTAAAAGGATACCAACTATGGTCGAGGTTTCAAGTGTCTCAATATGTATTGGGCTTTGAGGTTATGGATACATGATGCGGGTGTGTTTTTATCTGTATTCTTTTTAGAGAGGAAAGCCCGCAGGAAAATTATCATTTCCGGTTAGTTAGTACAGCTGATGCAAGAATAGTTTGTAGAAAAGACAGTACAGAAATCCTGTAGAACAATTAGTGATGGATAAACCACGATGTGCCACTGCATGAGCTGCAGCGTTGTCCTGTCATGGAACATAACCGAGATAACAGAAACGCGTTGAATCAAACTTTTGCAGGCTGCCACAAGTGAATGCACCATGGTGGTTGGAGTAATAGAATCTGCCAACAGAAGGTGCACTATAAACTGAGCATCCCTTCTCGGATGAAGTTAGAAAGTTGTAATTGAGATGCAAATTGAAGATCCTTATTAAGATTTCAATTGGGTGTAACGAGAATTCCGTCTGCTTCGAGGGAGTCAAGTCCCTCCAAAGAGATAACTCTCAAAGTCTCTCAATTAACAAAAGATAATTCTCATGATAATTTAATTAAGAAGAAAATTACAACTTAAATAGACTCTTACTAAGTACTTACCCACTTTACAACTAGCTCTAAAGATTTAGCCTCACCCACAAGCCACGTGTCTCAATTAACTTTGGCTGTTGAGACAGTTTATGGGCTGGGCACGTTCTGGGCAGTTCACCTATTCATGCCCATGCTTTGGTTTTTAGTCAAAATAAATTAAGATGTAATTACTAATTTATCCATTCTGGTAACGTGGCATTTCCAGAAATCCTCTCAACAGCATAGGCTGTTGGCCCCCAACAGCTAAAGTTTTTCCAATTCAATGCAGCCACTCTCTCCATAAAATGGATTAAATTGGATGCATTACATGGACCGAGTCAACACAAATATTTAACTACCACCCCTTTATTTTCTCTCCCATGACCACTACTAACATGGAACCGGATCCAGCAGGCACAAGCATAACATAGGAAGCACATTCAGTGAGCACTTTATAAATATTCTAACAATTGTTAAAAATTGTCTTTAATCTTTTTCAAGGATAGGTTAGGGGTATTTCAAGGGACAGGTGTCAAAAAAATTTGAAAGTGCTTATTTAACATGATTACAATGACATGCTTACTTGATCTGAACTCTACTAACACCAACCTCTCTAATTACTTTGGCCCCATGGACCCACCAATGATCCCACTTATTAGACACATAGCAACGCTCGTAAAAAAATTGTAGCTTCCATCCGTAGTGATGGCCCTACCATATATAAAATACCCATCTCATACATGGTGGGTCCTAGTCTCATGGTTAGATGTGCGGTGTTAGATCTTATTGATAGGGTGTTGGAATGTGTTTTGTTGACAGGAGATCCCATCTGATTATGAGTTGATATCTGCCAACAAAACATGTTCAAACCCTCTACCAATATGATCTCACACCGCACATCTCATACAGAATTGGTATCTACTCTTCATACAGCACGCCTCACACCGACCTCACARACACATCCCACCATGCATTGGGAGCATCTTCCATAAATAATAATACATAAGTGCGAGAGATGTTCCCAATACATGGTGGGATGTGCCTGTGAGGTCAGTGTAATGTGCGCTGTAAGGAGCAGATTGGGTCTGTCATACATGGGTTAGAATGTGTTTTACTTGCATGGGATCAAATGGAGTATCATTAAAGAATGTACTATTGCGGACAAGCCAATACTCACACCGTCCTCACAACCCTTACAGCTTTGCATTGGGAATATCTCCCTATGAATGATTCAGTCTCTTAAGAAGCAGTACTGGACCGTCTAGTAGCCTAAATATTAGAGCCCATGATATGGGTGGAATGACTGACAAATTTAAGAATTCGGATTAGCTAAACGCTTTAGCTGTTCAGCGGGCTGTGGAACCAATGATGAAATTCCATGCCAGTAATAAATTCATGGGCCCCACTGTAAAAGATGCGGTTCCATATATTTAAATACTGGTGTGGAACCTTATCATTGGTTCCATAGCCTGTTGAACAGTTAAAGTGTTCAGCTAAACCTTGCTCCAAATTTATTCCACCCATATCCACAATACTAGTCAATACTCTTACAATATCAGTTTTTATTGGGTTTGTTTCCTTCAATATAGACCGATACCATAAGCTTCGATTTTTTTATTAGTTTCTCATATTTCCTCATAAATTTCTATAGAATCTATGCCAACTGTATTAATCCATTCAAAAATATTGACTTTATCAGGCCGATATGCATTCTTTGATGAATCCAGATTCAAATTCATTTAGTAGCCTAAATACCTTATTAATTTCTCTCTCTCTCTCTCTCTCTATATCTATCTATCTATCTATAATCATTATGCTACAAAAAAGCTTAGGAGAACAAATCTACCACTAAAACATGCCTCAATTACTTGTCATGATGATGTGAATTCTACATTTTAATTTACATTTTTTCTTAGTTCATGCTTATTGACAAATTTTAAACAATAGCTAAATATCAATGATAATTAGATTGGTTTTCTAAGAATTAACATGTTAATTGTGCTGTGCAGTGAGTGTCATAATCCGTTCTTATAAACTATAAAAATGTGTTTATATACTTTTATAAGCATCTAAAACCTGAATTTAATGTTATTAATGTATATTTTGCAACTTATTTTAGTTTTCCTACCATATCCATGTGTATCTGGTTTCTATAAAAAAAGCATGCTTTTCAAAATTTATATGAAGTGTGAACTATGAGGACACTTGGGAAATGCCAAAAAATGAAGAAGTAAAAATATGCATGTATATCTTAATTCTTGGGAAACCAATATTATTTTTGTTAATATTCATAAATACAAATTATAATGATAATTTATTTTAAAAGTGACAAATGCACTAAGAGAAAAATGATTAAAATTTAAAAAGAGTGAAATTGTAAATAGGTATACTGTAGTGACATATTTGTTCCCTTTCAACTTGAAAGCCTAGGTCTGAATCTTTTAACTTACTGAAGTTTGAATTTGAATCTATGTTAATGAGGGAGTGAACATATTAAAGACTACAGGTAGAAGGCCCAGAACTTCATACCGCACCTGTTGGCGGGTGCTCTTGTAAATTATCGGTTTTACTAATAAGGGGTAATGTTATAATTATCATGTACTAATATGTTAAGTATAAATCCTAATGTCTTAACACTCTTACCAAAAAAAAGTATAAATCCTAATGAAAAGACTACAGCCAGATTTTTTTTTGCCAGCTGTCATTCGATTTCTGTTCTTTTCTACTCTTCTTCCTCTTTTATCCTGATAATTATTATTAATTATTCATTGCTCAAAGCTTACAACTAGAGTTATTCTTTATGTTGAAATTCAAAATTATTTAATACTTAGAATATTTTCTGACTGACTTTCAGAATTATTTTCATGAATATGGAGTTATTCAGCAAATCTATTCATACACTCCTCTCTACAAAATGGGGTGGATGAACAAAATTAGCTTTATAATCTACTGTAGATTGCAAAATGCTTGCTCATACAGATTAGGATTTTCAGATGGTTGTAAAGTGATGCAGTTCTTACATCGTATTATCCTATATTCATACATTCCTACACCAGTTCTCAGTAGTTGCCCGCCTTTGCTTTGTTTCCCTTTCCTACATACCATTACAACATTTAGCTGTTCAGAAAAATCGAACCATGTGTTATCAATTGCCTTTTCCTTGGATATTTAGTGTTCAAAAGGGATTAAGCGTTGCAGTCCTGAATTGAATAGGTCTTTCTCATATTGAAAATCACACTAACATCTCAAATTTTAGTTAATTAAAACTATCATGATACCTCGTAAATTCAACAGCTAGCGTGCCAAATACTCATGGGTTTCAACCACTATTTTACTTTACATTTCATTACGATACAAATATACTGGTTGATAGCATTGGTACATAGAACAACACCTAGGTTACCTCCCGTTGCTGATCCCTCCTCTTCCTCTGATGTTTATAAGTAGTATTCTAGTGTGTTGAAACAATAACATAATTGTGCATCGCTCCATATAGCATACCATTTACTTTATTACATGTTTAAATAATCATGACTAACCATCATACCGATCCTACTGAAGAAAACAGCATGACGAGACAAACTTTAGGCCATATTTTAATGTATCGAACATTTTCTCATAGAAAATACGTAACATACAACTTTGTTTTCTATAAGTCTTACAAATTCACTATACACCATTCATCTAGAATATTGTATGTGACCTAGCTGAACTGAGCTGAACTGACGGGTGAAACCCATAACATGATAAAGCACTCCAACATGTATAGTGTATGGTGCATTTGTAAATTATACAAGAAAAACAAAATGTATACTTGAAATTTTTCTTCCCAAAAATCATACTGAACTTGTGGCCGGAGTGGTTACTCCCAGCGGCTAACAAAATAAAACTAAATTTTGATGGAAGTTCCATGGGAAATATGCAGGTGGCTGGTATTGGAGGAGTATTTAGGGATTGCACCGATAAGTGTTGGGTATCTCAGGACCTCTGGGGCTGGGAGATTCACTAAAGGCTGAGCTAATGGCATTACTACAAGGGTTAAGAATTGCTAAACTATCAAGATTTCAGCCTTTGGAAGTAGATGGAGATTCAAAGCTAATAATTTATTGGGCCAGAAGTAAAGCAGCTTGTGCCATGGATATATATATATTCTTGACAGAGTAGCCGGCCAGAGATAAGCGGAAGGGGAGAGAAGAGAAGAGAAGAGAGAAGGTTTGCAATGTAACAGTACTGGCGGCGCCAGTGTTTATTTTACTATATATAGGGTGATAGAAATAATAAGGGAAAAGACCCTTGTGCCCCTGAGTACAATAACAGACATAACAGAAATAAAAAAATGAAATAAAAAATACTTTAATTAGCCAAACAGGCCCTAACATCT